CAAAAAGCATGAACTATAGCCCATGTTTTTGAACGATTTTGCTCCATTTTCATACCTTTTCCAAAATTTCGAAGCCGAGAATAAGGCTAAAATAACCAACGGTGATTTTTTAGTTAACCTGGTTATTTCAAAGCCGAAAATGAAGCGAAATAACCAACGATGATTTTTTTGCTACCTTGGTTATTTCGAAGCCGAAAACGAAGCGAAATAACCAATGGTGATTTTTTTGTTACCTTGGTTATTTCGAAGCCGAAAATGAAGCTAAAATAACCAGCGGTGATTTTTTTGTTACCTTGGTTATTTCGAAGCCGGAAATGAAGCTAAAATAAGCAACGGTGATTTTTTCGTTACCTTGGTTATTTCGAAGCCGAAAATGAGGCAAAAATAACCAACGGTGATTTTTTTGTTACCTTGGTTATTTCGAGGCCAAAAAGTGAAGCTAAAATAACCACGATCGTCTTTTTTCTTACCGTGGTTATTTCGCACCCAAAAACGAAGCTAAAATAACCACGATCGTCTTTTTTCTTACCCTGGTTATTTCGAAAGCAAAAATGAAGCTAAAATAACCACGATCGTCTTTTTTCTTACCGTGGTTATTTCGCACCCAAAAACGAAGCTAAAATAACCATGATCGTCTTTTTTCTTACCGTGGTTATTTCGCACCCAAAAACGAATCTAAAATAACCACGATCGTCTTTTTTCCACCACCACCACACCATCATCACCACCACCATCACCATCATCATCACCATCATTATCATCATCGTCATCACCATCATCATCATTATCATCATCGTCATCACCATCATCACCATTATTATCATCGTCATCACGACCATCATTATCATCATAATTATCTCACCACCATTGTTTTCATCATCGCCATCAACAACACCATAAGGAAAAACAATTGAACACCTGCTTTGATTCTGTTTAATTTGATCACTCATTTTGTGCACAAATAACAATGGCATAACCAGGCTTTTAACTATATGGATTTCTACTGGTTAATCAAACCTAAAGAACTGGAGATTGGAAAACCACCAAAACCCAGCTTCTGGTTTCTAATTCAGGGTGTGCGTACTTYTCCATTAGGGGTTTTGATAACATTTTGATGATATTATCAGGGTATTCGTAGTGGTAATTGAGGAGGTTCAATCATGGTTTTAAAAACTTCTGAATAAAGCTATGTGTTTTTAATTCCTGGGAAATTACATTTGATGATAAAATAGCCAAGGAGAGGGCGTCCCGGGAGAGTCATTTATCCCTGGGTTCCTGAGAATAAGGAGATTCTGCTCAACCTGTCGTAGCTCCCTGAATAGAAAGCCGACAATCATGTTAGTWTAAATTAAATCATAACTTGATATAGAAGATATACCAGATTAATATTCTATTAATATACTAGATTAATAGTCAGACTGACGGTATATTAGAAGCCACTATCCAGTCTACAGCAATTGTGAGACAAAAAATCTTTTATTTATATCCAAGATGAATGRTCTTTTCCAATCTAGATTAATATTATTTAGTCGCAGTGCGTAGCAGCCTGGGGAGCGGTTAGCTCCTT